CCCCTCGAGTAGTTGCGAACTGTCTGGCTGGTAGACACACTCATGCAGCCTGATCACATTTACCAGCCAGCCAGTTTGCAACTACAAACTGATACATCTAGTAATAATAAAATGTACCTAATAAGAAAATACTAGACACTTAATGTCCTGTATTTTCTCAATTTTCCCAGACAGAACCCTCAAACTGGACTCTCTCTGGTCCCCTCGAGTAGTTGCGAACTGTCTGGCTGGTAGACACACTCATGCAGCCTGATCACATTTACCAGCCAGCCAGTTTGCAACTACAAACTGATACATCTAGTAATAATAAAATGTACCTAATAAGAAAATACTAGACACTTAATGTCCTGTATTTTCTCAATTTTCCCAGACAGAACCCTCAAACTGGACTCTCTCTGGTACAAAACCAGAACCTAGCACCCCTCCTCCTTCTTGCTAGCCAGATACCCTACCCCAGACTGCTCCTGCTCCCTCCTCCTAGAGTGTCTGTGTGGGGCCAGGTTCCCCCAAACCCTGGTCCAGGCTGGGTGAAACAGTGAAAATGTATTCATTTTTTCATCTTGAATCTGTTTATATTTTTGGGCTGCAAAAAACAGTACTGGAAAAAAATGGGTTCTACCTAAAGTAAAATGTTTGGGAAACCCTGGTCTAGCCAACTTTCTGTCAGTCTTACAGTCCGTTTATCCAATCCATATTCCTTAACTCTCAGGCAGAATATTGTGGGTGACCATATCAAAAGCTTGCTAAAGCTGGCACTGGAGGCTTTGGGAGGGCCAGAAACAATGTATTTGAATATTCATCACTTGCTTAATGAATGTTACCAGTCCTCCAAAAGCTTGTGAATGGATTGACTGGTCCCTTTGTCCAAAAGTTTGGGAACCCCTGTCTTAAAGTACTTGGGTTCTATTCCTGATCCCATTAAAATGGATGGAAAAATTCACGTTTTTTGGGAAGAACAGGTTCTCTAGACCCAATTGTTACACACAGCACAGGAAGTGGAGATAGAGGTTGTCGAAGGGTGACCTTCATGTGGTATTCTGAATGTTGCTGCCTGAGACAGTGAAACCAGACTAACACGGCTACATTTCTATCACTTTTGTTTTGTGGCTGTTGACAAATGTGATCATTCTAACATGGTTATGTGCAAACAGCTATTTAAAAGTGTGCTAAAATTATCCCTATAGACAGCATTTGACATTTACCACCTTTTTCATGAAGTATTACAGAATCAAGTGTGGCTGCTTTTCAGAAGTCTTGCACCCATGTACCTATTGGTATAATGCAGAGAACCGGCCCTTGGGAAGGTTAAAGCCTGTGTTCTCAATTTTATGTTCATTGTGTGTTTTTTGTTTTCAAAGAAACCTCGAGTACCATAGCTGTGTAAAAGATGGGTCTTCAGTGACCGCGTCGGGCTGAGGGATGGGATCACTTTCTGATGTGGGATTAGAATAGAAATCAGTGCCTCAAGTTGAGACTGTTCCAATGTGTGATTGGTAACTTCTGCTATAAAACATTCTTAATGCTAATAAAGTTTTCATGAGCTGTAGCTGTTACTTTAAGAAATAGATATGTGCTATGTGTGCAGGTTTAATACAATAGGAGGTTGATGCTAGGCTGTGCAGCTCCCAGCAGAAGAAAAGGAACATGCCCCAGGGCATACAGTGAGTTAGTAGCAGAGATGAGATCAGAAACAGTTTCAGTAATGTCCACTTGAATGTGGGCATGTCTAGGCCCTGCTCTACAGCACTTGCTGGTGCATGGAAAAGAGTGATGTTCTACAATGCAGTTATTTAAAGTGAGGGCCTTTGCTGTTGCTCCTGTATTTTTGCCACTACGGCTTTAATTGTGAAATAGCCAGTCTGCTTGTGATCACTGATACATTATACTCATGCTATTCTGTGGGAGGAGTGAGAGTGGGCAATGATATAGGGGAGACACTTGGGTAAGAGCCACGAGTTAGGTGCCTGTCCTCCTTCAAACTTCCTAAACTGGCATTCAGGAAAATGGAGGAAAACACTTAAATCAAGTGCACTCTGAACTCACTCTAGTTACACAAAGTACAGACTGCTTTATTTCAGTATACGTTCACTATTGAAAAATGGTATGTACTAAAGCCCCATAACATATAGACAAAACACCAGTTAAAACCTCATTGAGAGCACTATTGATTAAAGTACAACCAGCTACTTTAAACCTGAATGCATATATGTACTTTGAAAGGTGCAGTAGGCACACTGTATATCCTGCAAGTAGATTTGCAAACATGAACCATGAATTCACTCATACAAAGAATTACAGGTCTTCAAAAATGTATATCAAATAGAGTACTACATGCTGAAATTGTAAAATATATAGCTAAGCACACACTACTGTAGTTAAAAAAGCATGTAAATAAGACACTGGATTCTACATTGCCATTCTTAAACAAGAAACAGTCCCTTTAATTTGGACTTAGAACTCATATGGAGTACAGCTATGGCTTTTACTATGAACATATTACAAGATTAGCTTGCAAAGGCAAAAAAATCCCCTGAAACTAAATTCCAAAGCTACTCTCTCCAACAAGTAGCTTATACAATAGAATAAAGAAACAATTACCCAGGAACTGGGTTATAAGCCTTGGGCCACTCAGCCTGTGCTCCAAAGGACTCTGTTTTTGGAACTGCTTGTGAGTGTGTGTAATAGGGGAGGGTGAATCCAGACCCTCCTGGGGCCCAAAATAGTTAATGAGAAATCAGAGGAGTAAAAAGCCGTCAAATGATGTTTGACCAGTAATGTTTTGTCAGAGATCAGGATTACTAATTTAAGACCACAGGGCATACAATGGGTTTGTAGAAATGAAAGCTGAGGTGATACTCTACATTTGCATACTAGAAAAATGTGTGAATAAAATATCCTGGTTTTACATTCCACTGGCAAAGTGTATTGCTGAAAATTGTACGTTTGTTTTAAAAACCCTCGTGATTCAGACAGCTCCAAGAATGAAAGACTTCCCAAGCTAGGTATACATATTCTCCCAATCATACATTAATTTTCTAAAAGGTAAAATAACTATCTTAATGGTTTTATGCTTGCTTTTCAGTAGTCAAAACATTCAGGAATGCACTGAAACATGATTGTAACAAAGTATATCATGCAATATTCTGGCTTATTGTGTGCAGTATAATACCCAATACCATGAATGAAGAATTTTTGTAAAATTCCCTAATGTTTGAGACAACCTGTAGAATCAAAACTGTAATTGAAGGCGCAAACTGTCAAAATGTTAAAAATTATCAGAATGCCTAAGAAAAAAGCATGCCACATGTCCTTGTTTCTAGTTTACAGAGCTGCTGTTGGAAGGCCTACTCCAGCAGTACAACCTACTGCTGTTTCTAGTTCTTTATGTTGCTGTTTTATTTAGGCTGACCTCAGTCTGAGATCATGGCCAGGGCTGCTGTATGGCAGTAGGAAGTTAACCCACAATCTCTGCAGGTTCAGTGACCAACTTGGATCCATCCCATGCTGTCTTGAACTGTTCAGGAACAGGAAATTCTTTCTGGTAAAGGGAAAGAAAAACAAGGGTTAGACAAACAGTGGCTCCCCTCTAGAAACTGATGGAGTACTATTAGTGCTGCATGTTTGACAAGGCATTTCTAAGTCAGACAGGCCTGGGTTACAAAGAGACCTGTTTCAGTGCCACAGAAAACAAGGTCTCAGTGGTAGCCATGTTAGATTGTAACTAAATAAACTTAAACAGCAATGGTCCTATGGCACCCTAGAGAGACTCAAAAATAGATAAACACTAGCATGAGCTTTCCTGGACATAACCTCCTTTTTCAGATGACAAATGTGTACACAGAAAACAAGCTGATGATTACCATAGTCCAGGGGTGGATAAGTCAATAAAGGGGGTGCTTGTATCCTTATTGACTCACTTTTCTTTGAAATGTACAAGAGCTGTGCCTCTGCCACCTCTGCCCTGGAGATGGGAAGCCAGTTTAAAGGTCCCCTAGCAGCAGCGCCTTCTCCTTTCCCCTTGCTGCCTCTGCATCAGAGGAAGCAAGGGGGGACAGAAGCCGGTGCTGTGGGGAGCCACCTCCATGGGGGAGGCAGAAGCACAACAGGGGACCTGGGTCTGAGCAGTCCGAGACCACTGCGGCTCTTACTACATTTCAAAAATAGAGCCGCACCGGACTGGAATCCGGCACAAGCTGGGACTGCACAGGCTCAAAAAGCTTATATTTAAAAATATCCTATATTATTTGAGAGCTAGCATTTGATTATATTGACCTTAACACTTGCATTTCCTGACCTTTCAGATAATTGTTGTAAATCTGTTTCACACAGGCTATAGACTAAATTGATATTGGCGGTACTGAATTACTTGAAAAGAGCCTTTATTTCCTTCTCTTACAAAGTAATGTACAGAATTACCTTGCCAACAGTGTTCTTGGGTGGATTATAGCTGACGCTATTAGTTTATGAAAGAGGGTATATGGCTATGTTTTCAATCAGGCCTTACTGAGGAAAAAATTGTTGCACTTTAGCTCCTATTTGCCTAAGAGTATGAAATGGTAACCATTGCACATATCAGAAGCAGGGAGAAAGTTCTATCTTTAAAAATTAGCCACTTACATAATCTCCATTTTGGGGGATGAGAACGTTCATTTCAGATGACTTGGCACTCACAATCTCACAGTCTAATGAGTCTTCACTGAGGTAGACGTGGCAGCCTTCTGTCTTGTTAATCGAGATGGTTGGCACTTTCCCCATCACCTGAAGAACAGTAAGTGTTTCTAATACCACTACCACTGTCTCTGTGGCAGTGACATTAACCGTTAATAACAAAAGCCTCTTCACATGCTGTGCGTGGCTTCTGCCACATAGCCCTTGGATATACGGCAGCTGCGTTTGCATGGCAGGCCTGAGCCTGCATTGTTCTATTAATAGATGATGGGAAGGTTGCTACTGTTTAAATGTATTAAATGTTCTCTCTAGGGCCAATGTTGTAAAACAACTTTTACACACATTCCTTCTCTCTCTCTCTCCACCCCTATGGCTCTCCCTACTAAAGGGGAAATACAATGGGCTACACACTCTTACTCCTACCACTACACGTGCAAATCTTACTTATATATTGGTGGGACTTAAGGGGAAACAGACTCCCATACATTTCTACAGAGTGACTGACTGAAAATGCTCCTTCCCTAGAGAAATGCTCCACTCCTTTCTGTGTAAAACATTCCGCAGCCAGGGGTGGCAGGTTTGCAAACATTTTGGTGGTGGCCAGGCTGCTCAAAGCATTGATTCAAAGATGCTTTTGATATGCCCCATGCAACTTCTGGGGTGGGGTTACTGCATGGGGCAAATGAAAAGTTTCTTTGAAGACATGCCCCTGCGGCTTTCTCCAGAGAAGGCAGATTGGCTCTACGGAAGATAGGGGAAGTTGCCCTGGGGCTCAGGACTTGGCTGGCCAAGGGCTCCTCTGGGGGCCAGTGGGGCTCATGGCCCCAGCTGAGGGAGGGAGGCAGGGGCCCCATTGATTTCTGCCCTGGCACCTGGAATTCCTGTCTGTGGGCCTGCATATCTTGCATGTGTAAATTGTACAACACAACCTGCCATGTGTGTTGACAGAGTTCTGGTGCTCAGCACCCTGCATGATCAAAGCTTTAGAAGATGGCAGCCTGCTTTGTGCAGATGTTATTCACCCTGACACTTCAGTGCAAGACCAGCCATGCTAGACGGCAGTGAAATCTTATACAACTTTCATGAAGCCTGAATCAGCAAAGGCCCTTTGATTTTAGCAAAGAGATTTCCCGTGTATTTTCATGTTCCTGAGATGTGGCGTTCCTATTGGCTATGTATGGACTCCTCAGCTTTGGTGAACAGCTCTAGCGCTACCAATCAAAACCACCTCTTTATTGAAAAAAAGATAACTGTTTCCTCAATAAATGTCCCCTTTTCTCTCCCCAGCTGCCTCTTTCCCACAAAAGGTAATGATGTGATACTGTTCAGATGCAGACACAAAGCTAGTAGTGAGGGCGCTCACTCGCTTAATATTTAAATGACTATTTTGCTGTTCCTCTCCCTGTGGTGGCGGTGACCCACACTTCTGAAGTATGGGCAGTATTCATCATCATTAATGTCGTTCCACGTCCACCTTTAATTAGAAGACCGCACAGGTTTCAGTGGGGAATGCGAGTCCAAAGACTGGTAACAGGGCATGAGCTGATGGGAGTTTTCAGTGGGTTTGATTTTTATTGAGATTTTAATGAAAAGCCGGGGACGCCATTTCAATTCCATTCTGTAGCTGACAAGGTAGACTTTGAAGGGCCCAGCACCCAGCTCTCAATTAAAGGCACTGGCAGTTGGGGTAGATTTTCAAATGGCACCTAACGGGCAAATGGAGAATCTTGCTGTTAGCACCAATTAGGCAAGCGAGTGCTATGATGACATGAAGCTTTGCCAAACTGTGGTACTGAAAGCTGGGGACTGTTCAGTGAGAACTTGACCACCACTGTCCAGAAGTAACAATTTCCAGACTATCAGAACATACCCCGTTGACCTCATCTACAGCCCCAGAAGGTGAAGGAAAGGTGTGGTCAAAAGGGAGCCCTGATCCGTGATGATTTGAAGTTCAAAGGCCAAAACAATAGTCTCACACAGCCTTTTCCCCTCCTCAATAAGTTAGAAGAATTTAGTGCATCTAAAAAGTAATTTTTGGACATTTAGGTTTGGGGTTTTTCTTTATACTCCAGCAAAACACCAATTATCTCTACTAGCCAAATCCCACTTGAAAGTTATTGGGCCTTTTTTCTTTTCTAATTGGACATGTACCTGAATCTGAATATCCCTGGAATTGATCACTTCCACGATTCCCACGACGTTGTCAAACACAAGTCCAAACTTTCTGCAGTTATCTACAACCAAACAAAACAAAACAAACACCAAATGTATGAAGACAAAATAAAAAGATGTCTTTTAACAAAAATTGGACCATGTTAAAAACTAAAATGCTTCAATTCTGCAATGATTTACATATGTGAGTAACTTTACACTGAACTATTCATGTCCGCAAAGTTACCTGCCTGTGCCAATCATCCCAGTATTTACTGCCCCAAAGATCATGAGACTGTCCACTCACCAACTGTAATGGAATTTAGTTTTCCTTTTATTTGTAGTGTAGATTTGTTGCATTTAAAAATGTAAGCCACTTGCTTGAGTTCAGTATTGGTAATAACAAGGTTGCTCTTATCCTCTTGATATTCCTGTTTTAAAAAAAACAAACAAATACTAGTTTTGCGATCGTTAGTAAAGCAGCAACAAAGTGCATTTTAAGCAGAATTTATCCCAGTCATTGCAGTTTCACATAGCAAGAGAAGGGGGCAAAAGTCTCATTCATCTCAGCCTGTGATTAGTCTGATTTGGATTTATGAGGGCATGTATTCAGTGCTGCATATGCACGAATTAGAGCTGAAGTGTCTGTATTATGAAGCGCTTAACACTGGCCAAGACACAAAAATGTTCATTCTTGTACTAGTGTGACGCATTTTATGGAGATTGGCTTGTGACTATGAATATGCATAACTCAAAGACGCTTTCAGCAAAACACCTCATGTAATCTCTCAATTTTAATGTGACCGTCTGTTGGATCTGCAGCTCCTGTTTTTCTGCATGTATCATTCTTGAATGTGAAGTTAGAAATATGAAAAGTGAATCTGTTTATAGATTTAAATGTGCTAATGAGAGCCATTACTGATGCCCTGGAAGTCTCTTGTTGGTCAACTCAACTTGTCAACAGTCTTTTTTGCCCTTTTAAGTCCAAATCGCCATTGGTCCTACATAGACATGTGACCATGTCACCTGGTACTGAAATCCATTTTGAAGCTGGTGTTTTTCCATGGGAAGAGGGGGATGCCAAAGTAAAGATTCCTGCCCTGGAGGAGTGTCTGTTTAAGCACTGGGAAGCTATCAGAGCTGTGTCATCAGCTGGCTGACACACCCTAACAGGATACTTGAAGAACTCCTAAAGGCTGGAGACCCAAGTCAAATAAAATCTCATCTGTGACTTGAACCTCATACTTGAAATAAGACCAGCTGTTTTAGGTAAAAATTTGCATATAACAAATTTCTTAGTGAATCAGAACTAGTGCTGCATTTTCTATTCATTTTAATTGAGTAATTTACTCTGATGTGTCTGGTTTCATGTGCAACCATTTCAAGCCTACTCTTTTTTGGACTTTAATAAAAACACTTTTGTTTCCTAAATCCTATATAGCACCCTAAATAGCTTAGTTTGAAATTTGGTGCCTTTACAATGCACATAATTTCAAAATAACGCACTGTTGCGAGACATCCCTCAACCTTCATGGAACGAGGGTTGCAGTGATACCGAAATAACGGGCCTGTTATTTTGAAGAATATGTTTTGAAATAACAGGTGGCTTGTTAAAATGCCGGCTAGCTACTGCAGGCCACCTGTAGTACCCCAAAATAGCTGTGCAGTGTAGACATGCCCTATGGCTTCATCTACAATGCAGGGTTTTTGTGGAATGAAACTTTTGCGCAAAAATGTCTTGTGCAAAAGGGATGCACTTTGAGGTGCGGACGCGTTTTTGCGTAAGCGCGCGTCTACACTATTGGTCACTCTCCTACATGTACAAGACACCCAGAGCCAGTTCTAGCCAGGCTAGAGGTCACTAGTTACTTTTGAGTGCTGTTGCCTGAGCCCTCCAGAGACGTGCTCTTAAAGGGACCACCCACCCCTATCCCAGACAGCCGCTTCTCTGTCTCTGCTGCCTGCTTGCTAGCCTCTTTGGCAAAGTAAAGCTTCAGCAGTGTCTGCTGTTTGCCCTTTGCTTTTTTTGGGGACAATACAGCTTTTGCCTACTCTGCCCTGTGCTATGGAGCCAGAACTGCCCCTGGGCATGTGACAGACCCCAGGGCCCTGCAGTGCCTCCTTTAAGCAGGGGTCCTCTTCTAGAGGGAGGTGGACCCCAAGCTATTCCTCATCAGCCTCTGTGTGGTTGCGAGTGCTCCATTCTGGCTGCCCCAGCCCACCATACCTAGAAGATTCTGGCGGCTGGAGACCAGCTTGGACTGGTGCGACCCACTGGTCATGGAGCAGTGGAACAACCAGCAATGGGTGCAGAACGTCTGCATGCAGAAGGCCACCTTCCAGGAGCTCTCTGCCTGACTCACACTTGCCATCCAATGATACGACACCCACCTGTGGCCCATCATCCCCCTCCAGAAGCGGGTCGCCATTGCCCTGTGGAAGCTGGCCACCATAGACAGCTACTGCTCAGTGGCACACCTGTTTGGGGTGGGGCGGTCCCCCGTCAGGGCCGTCCTCATGCAGGTAAGGAGATCATGGGATGCAGCCCTTGCATGGGGGGGGAGGAAGGAACTGTTGTATAAGGGGGACCCTCAGGCCATGGGGGGCTGGGCACTGTACGTGGTGGAGTGGGGCTGGAGGAGAAAGGCCTGGCCCTGGTGCCTTCTTGCTTCACACTAGTCTGGTCAGGGGGGGAGGTGGGCACAGGCTCACTGGGGGGCACCTGTGGAGTGGGAGGGCTGGAAGGGTGGGTGGCCACGTCCCACTGGGAGTACACACCCCCTCTGTCATTCTCTGTTTTATGTGTTTCTCTCCTGCTGCAGGTTGGCCAGGTCATCAATCCCCTGCGGCTGCGCAGCGTCATCTGACTCTGAGACCTGGACGCCACCATGGGCGACTTTGCTGTCCTGGGGTTCCCCAACTGTGTGGAAGCAATCGACGGTACACACATCCCCACCTGGGCCCCGGATCATCGAGCAGCCCACTTTGTCATCCAAAAGGGCTACTTCTCGGTTGTCCTGCAGGCCCTGGTGGACCACCGGGGCCACTTCACAAACATTTATGTGGGGGTGGTCGGGCAGGACTCACCATGCCTGAGTTTTTTGCAACTCCAACCTGTGTGCCCAGCTGGAGGCAGGCACCTTTTTCCCCCACCAGGAGTTTCTGATGGGTGACCAGATGATCCTAGTGTGCATAGTGGGGGGGAGTGGGGGGGGGGAGGGGAATGCGGCATATCCACTAATGCCCCTCCACCGGCCAGCTGGCTTGCACCAAGGCCATTTTCAATGCCCGCCTGCAGGTATCTGAAAGGATGGTTCCACTGCCTCTTCACTCACCTGGATGTTGGGGAGCAGAATATCCCAGAGGTAGTGGCGGCCTGCTGTGTGCTCCACAACTTGATGGAGCGCAAGAGAGAGGCCTTCCTCCCAGGGTGGGTGGCAGGGGCTGCCCATGAGGGCTGGGGCTTCGGGCAGCCCCAGGCAGCTGCGACCCACCAGGCCCATCAGGCCAGTGTGCGTATCTGGGAGGCCCTGAGGGAATGGTTCTTGCAGGAACCACTGTAAATCTCCCCGGGGCCTCCACCCTTCCCCCTCTCCCGACCTCCCCTTGCCCCTATCCCGACCTCCCAATGAACACACCTGCTTGGTTTTGAAACAAAATGACTGTTTTATTTATTTAACAGAAATGAGGGTGGGCAGGGGTGGGGGGGCTGTCTGCACTGGGAGGGGGGATGAGGACTGGAAGGAGTAG